TGATATGAAAGGACAGAATGTTATAAGAATCACAAGCTGCAATAACAATCAGTAGAATATCGTTAAAGCATGTTCTTAGGGGAAATATTTGAACAAATTAGGAAAAGTAAAGATGTTTGAGATTATTTATTACTTACAAGAAGTAGAGCCAAAAGGACAAGTTCAGTTAACTGTGAAGCTTTGTGTTCTTGGATCCATCCATATCAAATTTGATAAGACCCCACCAAATGTAAGTACAGCAAGACCTGAACTAACTAGAAGGACTTCTCTGAAACCCAATTCAGTTCCTTGTTGAAGCCTGTATGAATGAATAATTTACTCGAAAACGCTTCCAAAAGTATATGTTTCCAGCATACATGAGCATATGCAGGAAAATGTATCCGAAAAGGCTGCAAACAGAAGTCCAGAAATATTATTTTTTCATGTCCAGTTTGCATGTGCAGATGTAAATGCCATGTCACTGGCAGAATTTCACTCACAAAATCGTAATCACCTGTAAAGTGGAAAAATGTTATCCATATATTTAGCGCGCCCTGGATTATTCAGAACATCTCGGGCATGGAGTGCCACAAAAATGCCAACTACAAGTGCAATGGAGCAGCCAAAGAAGGTACCTGCAGGTTTACAGAAGTAATGAGAATTCATTTGGATTTAACAAGGTCAATTTTCCATTCAAAATTCTGAAGAAAAGTGGCAACAAGTTTTACCCAAGAAAAAGTAATGGTATGCCTCCCTCTGGGCTTTTGGTCTTAATGTGTCCATTCCTTTGCTGTGATTTCCATTTGCAAAGTGCTTAACAAAAGTAGCTTCCACCCTTTCCATGAGCTTAGTAACCTGCAGACCACAGATAGTCATGGAACACAAATTCATCAGTAACAAAAGGGCAATCAATTCTACTGACAGAAAATGAGTCTCACTGGCTAAACTAACCTCATCAGAACTTCCAAGATAAGAATTATCCACCATCTCTAAGTAAGTCTTTGATGCATTTCTGGAAGTGATCTGCACTAGCATAGATTAGTCCAACTGATCGAGCTAAAAAAAGAAGCCAAGTTAAAATTGGTAATGTGAAGACAAGGGGATGAACCTTGTCATACTTCTTCATGATCTTGGCGAATGCCAGTTGATTCAAAAAGCTGTTACATATCAATTAAGGTAATTGTCGATTATATTATCATATTGTCATGAATCCTAAAGAATGAGAAAAAAGGCATAACATCATACCAGTAGCTTTTCAAAAGTCTAAGCTTTTGGTAGAACTCAGCAAAAGCCTGTGTCATTAGTTGTTCTGCTTTCCGTAGCTCACGCTTGCTGAATGACCTGTCTGATTTCGAACTCTTGAGGACACCTTTTAGAGTTGATACCGGAGTTTCAGGCTCGATATTGATCTGCACATGATCCAACACTTCTAATGAAGCTGGCCTAAAGCCTTCCATATCAGCCTTTCTTGCACTGCTTCCTCCCCTTTCACTCTCTGACTGTCCTTCACTGCTCATCTCAACTTCTTGAATCGTATCCATATGCGACTGCCCTACATATAGCAAACATACCATAACTTTTGAGAGATCTCGCAATATAGAGAGAATATTACATAAACCTAATTGCATAGAGCACGAATTAGCATTCGTCAATCTAAAAACATTCTCTTTACCTGGTATTCTGCCATTTATGGGATGAATTGAGGATGCAGAAGAGGCAAGACTGAGCATGTTAGCCCCACCAACCATTGGATTTTCAATCTTGATCCTCAGAGCAATCAAGGCATTCATTTGTTTACTCAATTCCTCTGCCTCTACCATCACTTCCTCCACTTTCTTCTTATAAAAATGAACCACTTTATTGAACTCATCATCAAGCCTCCTGAAGAACNACAGAAATGCATATACATAAAAAAATAAAAATAAAATAAAGAACAGTTCACTACCCATACCCAAGTTACTAAAAAATTAACCTATAATACATATCCATAATTCAGTCTCACAAACCCCACAAACAAAACAAAAAACCCACTTCCAAAACCAAAAATCACACCTGAAATCTGTGATACTCATCACCAAGACATATCAATACAATGTGTTTTATGCATAGAGAAGATCATTACATTGCATACCTCAAAGTTTTACTTTCCAGAAACTCCATAGAAGAAAGAAAAAGGAGGAGGAAGAGGAAGACAAAGATAAAGATACAATGAAGGGTATACTTCGTGAAAAGCAAGAAAGTAACTGGACAATCGAAGGCGGTTGGCGCTGTTTGGTGGCATGTAAGTGTCTAAAAATGTTTAAAGTTTTGAAACTTCTAATGAACCTTTGATTGATGTTAACGTCAAAGCGAAGCGAAGCTGTTGTCGTGTATTGTGTGGATTTTATTTATTTTGAGTCTTCTCTGTGTTCTCTCTTATGTTGCTTTTATCTACAAATTCTTACTCTTGGACAATTGCCGTTAGGTCGTTATTTTCTGCGCGTTCCCTCGCGGGCTTTTGAGTTTGGCGCTTAAACGTCATCGTCTCATTCTTAAAAAAATAATTATTTTTTTTTAACTTTTTAATATGAAAATTTAGATTAAAATGACGCATCAGTTGACATGAATGCATTGAGATTTTATAATTTTATTTTATTTAATAAATTTATTTGTTAAATATTAGTCACTGTTGATGCTGGTTTATGACACCAACCAATTGTCATAAGGGTATTGCTATTTAATGAATTGATGCACGTGATAATGGATGCATGAGATGAAATGAGTGCAAAGAAGGCTTTTAAAGTGGTTCGGATGCTAAGGTAGCAAATCCTACGTCCACTGATTTGTATTGATATTAGTGTGGGTCAGGTTGCGAGACGGACTAACGTCCAAAAAGTTATGAAAAGTAAGTGTTTTTTTTCTTTTACAAGAGAGAGAGTCATTTTTTGTGAAGAATGGCCGAATCCCCTTAATGGAGGGGTCTTCTTCGTTTTATATCAAATTGAAGCGTGTAATCATCATTAAATCCATGGGTTGGTGTGATTGTCAGGATGTAATCCGGCTTTACGTCCCATTTTCCTTTTTCCAAGCTGATTTCGCACGACTTGCTGCAGAGGAATGGACGCGTGTGAGCTCCATATTACTTTGAAGGTCTGACGTGTGCGTGTTGCCCTGACGGGAGCAGTTCACCCGTAACGTGACTTTTCCCACGTCAGCCCTTTATTTTCCCGGGTATAACAGTCACAATTCACAGACATCTAAAACCACATAATTGGTTTAATTAAAGGCTACCAAATTGCAGTAGGTGCATCATAAAAAAGGAAAGTCACAAATATGTAGGTCCGTTTGGTCAACTCTTGGAAATACTTTTATTAGTATTTTCAATAAAATTAAATAGTAAAAACGACTTATATACAAAATATTAATCTATATTATTCAATTTTTTTAAGGAAAATAATAAAATCACCGAAAGTAGTGCATCGCATGATATGACATAATCCTAATCGTTGATTAATCAACGGTCATGATTTTTTCACGTCATTTGGTGTACTACTTTCGATGGTTATAGTATTATTCTTCTTTTAAACCCCCTAAATTTATTAATTTAACTAAATACCTCCAAATATTTTTTTTAGAAATTGTAAAAATACTCCGACCACCCTCCGACGGTGGTGGCAGACTGTCGTAATTAATGGGTAAGTTAGAGGTGTTTTTTGTTAACTTTTAATATTTTATCATAGAAGTGTTTAGTAAATAAACAAACATAAAATATATTTTTATTAATTTTCAAATCCTACATCATAATATTTATCTAATTTAACTTTTTTTCAAGATATTATTCTAAAAACTATCCAAATATACCCCTAAAACCACATAATTGGTTTATGTCTCTTTTAATCGCTCAAATCATTGGTCTATTACCGGATATATCCTTTCCTCTAATGGGATGTCCTTGGTCCAGTACTGGAACTGGATGTTGTGTTTCCCCTAACAAGATGCCCAAAATTTACAACGTCATGATCGTTTAAATGTCAAGATACTGTCAATTAATCAACCAAATGATGTGACTTGCGAATTACAGCAATTATTGAGTTGGAAAAAAACATTTGGCAAGTACAACAATTATTAAGAAATAATCGAAATTGAAGTCTTAGCCATGATAAGTATCACACGTTAAAAAAAATGTAATAACTGAATCAAATCGAATCGGTTTTTCAGTTATATAAAAAATTAATTCAATTTCAGTTTAAGAAAATATATAAACTAAAAATTTAGTTTGGTTACCAGTTTAAATAAATTTTTTAACCGGTTCATAAAATTTGTTTCACTTTAAAATTAAAAAACCATAAATCTTCAAATCCATTTCTCTTTATCCTTCACCCTTTACACATTTCTGCTCTTTTTTCACACAAACACACACATTTCTCCTCAGTCCTTATTAATTTTCACTTTTCTCTTCTCTCTCAAAATAAAAAATAAGTTAAATTAGAGAAAAATCAAAATAAAAAATAAGTTGGAAAAACTGATTCAAAACCGGTTAATAAGTTTTTTAGTTAACCAAAAAACTGGTTTTCTCCTTAACCGGTTCGGTTTTAGTTCAAGAAAATTTCTAAACTGAAAGAGTAGTTCAATTCAGAAAATCGGTTAAGCGGTTATGAAGACCCCTAAATTCTACATATGCTCTAACTAGAGGAATGGAAATTATTGACAAAGGCTTTGAAAAAAATTAAACCCTTATGTACCTAATTAAGGTAATTTTCTAACCACAAAGGATATAATAACGTGGCATCATTTTATAAGAATTTATTTAGACCCCATTAAGATCATGAAAATTGTATAGTACCACCTCTCTGTTTCCAATTGTATGGTTGAGAAAGAGTGAGATAAAACTCTCCTACTTGCTTTGGCTTCTACTTGCCATCAGCTTTCAAGAAGTGATTTTGGATTGAAAAAGCACTTCTCTAGAGCCTTCAAGATTATGAGACTTAACCAGTAAATGCCAAACAGCAACTACTGGAAACATCCTATGTTTCCCTTATTTAAACAGCTTCTGACTTTTCCCTCCCAAAACAACCAGGTACACACCACATTAACAAAAAATGTCTCCTGCTGTATCTCTGTCTTTCTCCCATCTTCCCCTCTGCAAAACTCAGGATTTTTCTAAGGACACCCTCCTTCCGAGAAGAACTTTTAGAGAGAACCCATGTCAGAAAACACCTCTAGATGTCAAACTGACTAAAAGAAACTTGTTGAGTTCCACTGCTTTGGGGCTTATTGGCGGGGGACTGTCAATGGCTCAGCCTGCAAAATCTGCTGAACCTGAGAGCCCAAGTGAGTCCACTTCAAGTAGAATGTCATACTCAAGATTCTTGCAGTACTTAAACGAGGGTGCTGTGAGGAAAGTAGACCTGTTTGAGAATGGAACCGTCGCGATCGCCGAGCTTTATAATCCAGCTCTCGAGAGAATCCAGAGGGTTAAAGTGCAGTTACCAGGATTGCCTCAAGAGTTGCTCCGGAAAATGGAAGAGAAAAATGTCGATTTTGATGTTCATCCAATGGATTTCAACTGGGGACTTGCTTTGTTAGATTTTCTAACAAACTTTGGCTTCCCTTTGCTATTGCTTGGCTCGTTGTTTTTGCGTTCTTCTTCTACAAACACTCCTGGAGGTCCAAACTTGCCATTTGGACTTGGAAGGCAAGTGTTTTTAGAATTTTCTTCACTCTAAATGGCCTTAATTGTGCTCAAAATAGTGACTAACTTTGATATTTGGAAGCAGGAGCAAAGCCAAATTTGAGATGGAGCCTAATACTGGAGTTACGTTTGATGATGTTGCTGGAGTGGACGAAGCAAAGCAAGATTTTCAAGAGATTGTCCAATTCTTAAAAACCCCGGAGAAGTTTGCCGCAGTCGGTGCGAAAATTCCGAAAGGGGTTCTTTTAGTAGGGCCACCAGGAACAGGGAAGACATTGTTGGCAAAGGCCATAGCTGGAGAAGCAGGGGTTCCTTTTTTCTCTCTTTCAGGATCAGAGTTCATTGAGATGTTTGTTGGAGTTGGAGCTTCAAGAGTGAGAGACTTGTTCAACAAGGCAAAGGCTAATTCCCCTTGCTTGGTGTTTATTGATGAGATAGATGCGGTTGGGAGACAGAGAGGAACTGGCATTGGTGGAGGAAATGATGAAAGGGAGCAAACATTGAACCAATTGCTCACTGAAATGGATGGTTTCAGTGGCAACAGTGGAGTGATTGTTATTGCCGCAACGAATCGGCCTGAAATTCTTGATTCTGCTTTGCTTAGGCCTGGAAGGTTTGACAGACAGGTAAGCTAGTTTTATCTTAAGAAAGAAACACACTTAATATCATTTGTCATATTGTAGCAAATCAGTTTGAGATTCAGTTTATAAGGCTTGGGTTTGACTAAGTAGATGCCTTTTGGGTGAAGGACTCAACGTGAAGCCCAAAAGCGATCCCGTACGGGCATGGACCCATTTCTACTTGGTTGGACCCAGGATTTGACATTAAGTAAGCTAGTTGAGATTATAAATTTATGTAAACTTCTGTTGTTGTGTGTGTGGGCAGGTTTCTGTGGGGCTGCCTGATATAAGGGGAAGGGAACAGATTTTAAAGGTGCACAGCAACAATAAGAAGCTTGATAAGGATGTATCTCTTAGTGTTATAGCCATGAGGACTCCAGGATTCAGTGGTGCAGACTTGGCAAACCTGATGAATGAAGCTGCCATTCTTGCCGGTAGGAGAGGCAAAGACAAGATTACATTGAAAGAGATTGATGACTCAATTGACAGAATTGTGGCTGGAATGGAGGGAACCAAGATGACTGATGGAAAGAGCAAAATTCTGGTGGCTTATCATGAAATTGGACATGCTGTTTGTGCGTAAGTATTTGATACATCGAAAACTCGAACAAAAGACTGATTTTTCAATGGCATTGGGACTGACTTCTTTATTTGGTATGCATTTGCAGGACATTGACTCCAGGCCATGATCCAGTGCAGAAAGTCACTCTGATTCCTCGAGGACAAGCTCGCGGGCTTACATGGTTCTTACCTGGTGAAGATCCTGAACTCATCTCCAAGCAACAACTATTTGCTAGAATAGTTGGAGGACTTGGAGGTAGAGCAGCAGAAGAAGTGATTTTCGGAGAACCCGAAATTACTACTGGGGCTGCAGGCGACTTGCAACAAATTACTCAGATAGCAAAACAGGTTTATACCAACATAAGTTTTTATGTTGCTATATGAAAAATAGTAAAATTTTCAATCTTCAGCTAACAATTCTTCTTTTTCACAGATGGTAACAAGGTTTGGGATGTCTGAGATAGGGCCGTGGGCATTGACTGACCCAGTAGTACAGAGCAGTGATGTTGTGCTAAGGATGCTGGCAAGGAACAACATGTCAGAAAAGCTCGCAGAAGACATCGATTCGTCAGTAAGAAACATAACTGAAAGTGCTTATGAGATTGCAAAGAACCACATAAGGCACAACAGGGAAGCCATTGACAAACTAGTGGAGGTTCTAGTGGAGAAAGAAACCCTCACAGGAGATGAATTCAGGGCAATCTTATCAGAATTTACTGATATATCAGTGGAGAAAATAGATAGAACTCCCAACCGTGAGATGATAAGTGTTTAAAATTAATGTCATGAATGTATGTATATATTAGTTTAGGAAGATGAATGTTATAATGTAATTCGGTGTATTTAGTAGAGCAATAGAAAGTTGTGAACCAATGCAACCTTTCATAATATATTCCAAGCTGACATTCTTTGAACTTTAAAGTGTCATGAAAACTCAATTTGTTGAATGAAGAATATTGTTGTATATCAAAAATTTCGTAATAGCGTTGTGTGATCAAAATCCTTCTATGATGTATTTTTGTTTTTGTGTACAAGCATGCCATTCCATTTCTGTTTCTTGCAACTCTACACCACAACTCACTTCCCTCAATGATTTAAAGAATAACAAATACAGAAACTATATCTGCAGAAAGAATTTGAACTTCATCTCTCTTCTGAGCCGTTCATGTTTATACATCCTTGTCTTCATTGTCATCATAGTTGAAAGGTAATGGTACTGACTTGAAAGCGCGATACTTCCCCACATTGTATAAGTGCTCATTCTCCAACCTGATCAAACAAAAATCATTTCTTCACCAGAACTCAGTAGCATTTACAATTCTAATGAGAAACTGTGTCATGTTTAAAAAATCAACGGGGCATTGCGTATGAAAGAAGTATAGCATACCTGAAGAAATTCCAGATTCCACGCCGTATAATCTCCAAGCTTGCAACTATTGCAGTCAAGGCTGTTCTATGCAGGGACGGAGCTTCTGTAAAGCCTAACACTGTCTGCATCCAAGCAAGTCTCAGTAAAATGTTCAACACCTACAATTCATCGAAAGTTCTTGTCAATTTACAAGGTACAGCATCACTTATACTAATACACTTATACAACTCATCATGAAACTACAAATCATAGAAGGAAAGTTGCATATAATTGTTACAATGGCTATGAAGTAAACACTTCTGTTTGGTACAAGAAGCTTGTCTCTCAACCAAGGATTTCTCGAATTTCGACGCAAAAGACCCCAATCTAGGACAATATCCCAATACGTAGCACCAACTGTAGCAACTACTGAAGTGACTATAGCTGCAAGCTTCAAAGTTTGTCCCATCCTTAAGAAGTCTAACTTAAAAATTGTCCTTGTTGCAACCGCAACTATGATTGAGAAGTATTTTATTCCATTAGCTCCATGCATTATATCTTTCTCTTCAAATAAATGTCTAAGGCACTGAAACATCAAAACTGTTGTAAGAATCATTGTTTTGTGTTGCAAATTACAACATAAAAATTTCGATGCAACATTGAGTACCTGAAGGAACCGAATCCAATATGGAATGATTGCTACAACTAAGTAAAAAGTGTTAAAAACATCACTTGTTCTACAGGAATTTTCCCTCTTTTTGAAGTCCCCCCATCCATAGTAGCAAATATAGAATTCCAAACTTCTAAAAGCTTGCACCTGAAATGAATTATAACAATAACAATTAATCAACAAACTAAACCACGTTTAGGCACTGCATCAAATTAATTTGGTATGAACTTTATGTCTAACCTGGCTAGTAAGCTGATCTGCCAAGAAGAAATCTGGGAGGTTAACCTTGTAAAGAGGTGCAAAAATACAGTGAACTGTACATCGGATGAGGAAAAACCGGCTAGAACGGTATATGATATTGAAAGGACAGAATGTTATTAGAATCACAAGCTGCAATAACAATCAGTAGAATATCGTTAAAGCTGTTACTTAGGGGAAAATATTTGAACAAATTAGGAAAAGTTAAGATGTTTGAGATTATTTATTAATTTACAAGAAGTAGAGCCAAAGGGACGAGCTCAGTGATAACTGTGAAGCTTTGTGTTCTTGGATCCATCTCCATATCCAAATTTGATAAGACCCCACCAAATGTAAGTACAGCAAGACCTGAACTAACTAGAAGGACTTCTCTGAAACCCAATTCAGTTCCTTGCTTGAAGCCTAGTATGAATGAATAATTTACTCGAAAACGCTTCCAAAAGTATATGTTTCCAGCATACATGAGCATATGCAGGAAAATGTATCCGAAAAGGCTGCAAACACAAGTCCAGAAATATTATTTTTTCATGTCCAGTTTGCATGTGCAGATGTAAATTGCCATGTCACTGAGGCAGAATTTCACTCACAAAATCTGTAATCACCTGTAAAGTGGAAAAATGTTATCCATATATTTAGCGCGCCCTGGATTATTCAGAACATCTCGAGCATGGAGTGCCACAAAAATGCCAACTACAAGTGCAATGGAGCAGCCAAAGAAGGTACCTGCAGGTTTACAGAAGTAATGAGAATTCATTTGGATTTAACAAGGTCAATTTTTCCATTCAAAACTTCTGAAGAAAAGTGGCAACAAGTTTTACCTAAGAAAAATGTAATGGTATGCCTCTCCCTCTTGGCTTTTGGTCTTAATGTGTCCATTCCTTTGCTGTGATTTCCATTTGCAAAGTGCTTAACAAAAGTAGCTTCCACCCTTTCCATGAGCTTAGTAACCTGCAGACCACAGATAGTCATGGAACACAAATTCATCAGTAACAAGAGGGCAATCAATTCTACTGACAAAAAAAGAGTCTCATTGGCTAAACTAACCTCATCAGAACTTCCAAGATAAGAATTATCCACCATCTCTAAGTAAGTCTTTGATGCATTTCTGGAAGTGATCTGCACTAGCATAAATTAGTCCAACTGATCGAGCTAAAAAAAGAAGCCAAGTTAAAATTGGTAATGTGAAGACAAGGAGATGAACCTTGTCATACTTCTTCATGATCTTGGAGAATGCCAGTTGATTCAAAAAGCTGTTACATATCAATTAAGGTAATTGTCGATTATATTATCATATTGTCATGAATCCTATAGAATGAGAAAAAAGGCATAACATCATACCAGTAGCTTTTCAAAAGTCTAAGCTTTTGGTAGAACTCAGCAAAAGCCTGTGTCATTAGTTGTTCTGCTTTCCGTAGCTCACGCTTGCTGAATGACCTGTCTGATTTCGAACTCTTGAGGACACCTTTTAGCGTTGATACCGGAGTTTCAGGCTCGATATTGATCTGTACATGATCCAACACTTCTAATGAAGCTGGTCTAAAGCCTTCCATATCAGCCTTTCTTCCACTGCTTCCTCCCCTTTCACTCTCTGACTGTCCTTCACTGCTCATCTCAACTTCTTGAATCGTATCCATATGCGACTGCCCTACAAATAGCAAACATACCATAACTTTTGAGAGAATTCGCAATATAGAGAGAATATTACATAAACCTAATTGCATAGAGCACAAATTGGCATTCATCAATCTAAAAACATTCTCTTTACCCGGTGTTCTGCCATTTATGGGATGAATTGAGGATGCAGAAGAGGCAAGACTGAGCATGTTAGCCCCACCAACCATTGGATTTTCAATCTTGATCCTCAGAGCAATCAAGGCATTCATTTGTTTACTCAATTCCTCTGCCTCTACCATCACTTCCTCCACTTTCTTCTTATAAAAATGAACCACTTTATTGAACTCATCATCAAGCCTCCTGAAGAACACAAGCTCGTGCTCTCCTCCTTCATCAGATGACATGAGAAACATAGTCTGATACTTCCCATCTTCTGATCCCTCTTCTTGTACTGAACTCACCAGTATTGCTTCATCTTCACTCTTCCTTGGAGAGTTTCTGTACTTGCTTGTTAGCCCACTAAAGGCTCTATACAATGACACCCTTCTCTTCAATGACCCTTTCGTCGCCGCCGCCATCGGAGATGGTGTGTACTGCTGTTGTTTGAACCGCAATATATCTTTCAAGATTGTTTTCAGATAATTGTAGTCCATGTATGCATCTTGCCATTCTTGCACCAACTGTGCTGCGAATTCCTTCCCAAACTTCATCTTCTCTCAACAGAAACCAAATGCTTATTTCTCTAAATAAACACGGAGAAACCCTTTTGAATGAACTGACAAATTATTAATTCAGAAATGTGCAAAGAAAAAGTCTCACCAAGGGAGACAAATTCTTTCTTCCTTACTTTTTCTTCTTTCTTTTTTTATTAATATACATCGTGATGACCATTTCTTCTGTATTTGCCCGTGTCGCCTTTAATCACGGCTGTCAATGACGGTCAAGTAATCAAAGTTGCAGACAAAGACACTCTTCTCATCAAAGTAATTTTGGCCTTTCCAGGTTCTGTAAAAAGATTAAGGTTGGTATTTCAAAGTCTTTGCTGCATAGAAATCCAGATGAAAAGAATGTCATGAAGATTTAAGTATTCTTTGCTGTGTGCGACGATTTTCGTACCCACATGTGATAATTTCAATGTCCATCACACTCAAAGGGGACCATATTGCTGCTGTTGTGATAATAAATTCGTATTTTATATAGGATACGCGTATTTTACAGATATGGATGATGTCAGACCTTTGTTGAATTTAATTTTCTTTTGTTTAATGGTAGATTTATTCTTTTAGAGTTAAGGAATTTTTCCCACCCGACCTTTTATTTTTTTATTAAATACTATTTTATTACTTAAATTTATATTCTACTATTTTACTATTTAAATTTATATTCTGACAATAAATAGAAAGTAAACTCAATCCAAACTTTTTAAGATTTAAAAAATAAAAGATCAATAAGTCTTTTAATAGTAAAAAATTAAATTTTTATAGTTATAATTGATCAAAATTTGAATTGAGAAGGCCGATTATATAAACCTTAATTGTTCGATTACCAACGATTGATAAGGTCAACAAAAATAAGATTTAAGGAGTTTTAACAAGTGATAATTGAGAAAAAAAATAATGATGGTGTGTAGTCGCAACGATGCTGGAATTGGAAACAAAATATAAATTTTAATAGTAAAATAGTATTTTAAAAGTCTATAAGTGAAAAAGTGTTATTAAGTCATTATTTAGGTTGGAAAAAGTCGTTTACTTTATTTTTTTAATATATGCTGATAAACAACTTATTATTTATATTCAAAATTTAATAATACTATACTTATAAAGAAATTTTACAAAGATTTTCGTACAAAGCCAGTTAACAACAAATGAATAAAATAGTGAAACAAACTAAAATAGACGTGGTAATTTGTCATTTGTTGTGACATGTGTCACTAATCTTTCCTTTGGAATTTTCATGTGGCCCCCAAAATATTGGTTTTGTTTGAAATATTCATTAATGATCGGCTTGTTTGACATTTGATCACTTGTTTATTACTTGAATATTTCTTAGCGTACCAAGTAAAGGTGGGCATTTGGAACCAGGTCTAAAAATCTAACCCAAAAATTTAGTCTCAAAACGAAATTAGGCCCAAAACGAAATTAGGCCTAACAAGGAGGGCCCAGTCCCTCCATTGGGCCCTCCTCCAAGGCCTGGGCCTATGACCAAATTTTTTTAAATATTTTTATTTTAGTCCCTTGCATTGAAGGCAATAGGAAAAGAAAGAGGACTAATTGTGTTGAAGGCAACAGGAAAAGAAAGAGGAGTAATGCTACAGTTATCGAAGGATGTACATCGAATGACGTAGCATAATCCTAACCGTTGATTCATTATAAGTTAATATTAATCAACGTCAGGATTTTGCCATATCATTCGATGCATGGATTCAGTGTGTAATTTTCTGTAACTCTATCATTTTCCTAGAAAGAGAACTCTCCCCAATCGGATTTTTCATCACAGTATACCTCATAACTAGGAGCATAAACAAGGACCCAATGCAAATGCCTCCAGACCATTTCTTCATTTTTATTCAACAATCTTCTAACAAATTCGGTGGCTCACTCTCTCAAGCACATTGTAGCCTATGATATTGTAACCAAAATTAATAAATGCTCAAACAAAAATCTTAAATACTCATGAAAGAAAGGGAATTAAGTAGCTGAAGAGCTAATTAGTAGATCAATTTTATTTTTTTCTAAATTTTCAGCGCAATTCAACTGATGAAAATTTGGAAAAGATGGTTAAAAATCAGAGAAAAAAACCTTATCTAAAACCACCCATATTGATATTTTCCTGTCATGAAAACCACTAAAAATATGACACAAGATATCCAAAGATTCTACTATGTAACAACTCAACGAGAAATCAAACCAGTAGGTATTTAAAGATCTACACAATTCACAATTCCCCACAAACTTAGAAAAATAAATAAAACCAAGACAATGTTTTTTTATGTGTACACAAACAGAAATGCATATACATAAAAAAATAAAATAAAGAACAGTTCACTATTCAGTCTCACAACCCCCACACACAAAACAAAAAACCCACTTCCAAAACAAAAAACACACCTGAAATCGGTGATACTCATACCAAAACATTCATACAATGGTTTTTATGCATAGAGAAGATCATTACATTGCATACCTCAAATTTTTATGCATAGAGAAATCATTACATTGCATACCTCAAAGTTTTACTTTCCAGAAACTCCATAGAAGAAAGAAAAAGGAGGACGAAGAGGAAGACAAAGACAAAGATAAGGATACAATGAGGGGTTCTTTCAGTAGGGCCACCAGGAACAGGGAACATGTTGGCAAAGGCCATAGCTGGAGAAGCAGGGGTTCCTTTTTTCTCTCTTTCAGGATCAGAGTTCATTGAGATGTTTGTTGGAGTTGGAGCTTCAGAGTAGAGACTTGTTCAACAGGCAAAGGCTATTCCCCTTGCTGTGTTTATTGATGAGATAGATGCGGTGTGGAGACAGAGAGGAACTGGCATTGGTGGAGGAAATGATGAAAGGAGCAAACATTGAACCAATTCTCACTGAAATGGATGGTTTCAGTGGCAACATAGTGATTGTTATTGCCGCAACGATCGGCCTGAAATCTTGATTCTGCTTGCTTAGCCTGGAAGGTTTGACAGACAGGTAAGCTAGTTTATCTAAGAAGAAACACTTAATATCATTCTCATATTGTACAATGAGTTTGAGATAAGGCTTAGTTTTACTAAGTAGATGCGTTTTTGGGTGAAGTAGCAACGTGAAGCCAAAAGCGATCCTGTACGGGCATGGGACCCAGGATTTTGACAGTAAGTAAGCTAGTTAGTATGAGAAAAATTTATGTAAACTTCTGTTGTTGTGGTGTGGGCAGTTTTCTGTGGGGCTGCCTGATATAAGGGGAAGGAACAGATTTTAAAGGTGCCCAGCAACAATAAGAAGCTTGATAAGGATGTATCTCTCAGTGTTATAGCCATGAGGACTCCAGGATTCAGTGGTGCAGACTTGGCAAACCTGATGAATGAAGCTGCCATTCTTGCCGTAGAGGCAAGGCAAGATTACATTGAAAGAGATTGATGACTCAATTGACAGAATTGTGGCTGGAATGAGGGAACCAAGATGACTGATGGAAAGAGCAAAATTCTGGTGGCTTATCATGAAATTGGACATGCTGTTTGTGCGTAAGTATTTGATACAACGAACTCGAACAAAGACTGATTTTTCAAGGGCATTGGGGCTGCTTCTTTATTTGGTATGCATTTGCAGGACATTGACTCCAGGCCATGACCAGTGCAGAAAGTCACTCTGATTCCCGAGGACAAGCTCGCGGGCTTACATGGTTCTTACCTGTGAAGATCCTGAACTCATCTCCACACACACTATTTTGCTAGAATAGTTGGAGGACTTGGAGGTAGAGCAGCAGAAGAGTGATTTTGCGAGAACCCGAATTACTACGGGGCTGCAGGCGCCTTGCAACAAATTACTCAATAGCAAACAGGTTTATACCAACATAAGTTTTTATGTTGCTATATGAAAAATAGTAAATTTTCAACCATCAGCTAACAATTCTTCTTTTTCACAGATGGTAACAAGGTTTGGGATGTCTAGAGTAGGGCCGTGGCATTGACTGACCCAGCATACAGAGCAGTGATGTGTGCTAAGGATGCTGGCAGGAACAACATGTCAAAAGCTCGCAGAAGACATCGATTCGTCAGTAAGAAACATAACTGAAAGTGCTTATGAGATTGCAAAGAACCACATAAGGCACAACAGGGAAGCCATTGACAACTAGTGGGTTCTAGTGAGAAAGAAACCCTCACAGGAGATGAATTCAGGGCAATCTTTCAGAATTTACTGATATATCAGTGGAGAAATAGATAAACTCCCCGTGAGATGATAGTGTTAAAATTAATGTCATGAATGTATGTATATATTAGTTTAGGAAGTGATGTTATAATGTTTCGGTGTATTTAGTAGAGCATAGAAAGTTGTGAACCAATGCAACCTTTCATAATTATTCCAAGCTGACATTCTTTGAACTTTAAAGTTCATGAAAACTCAATTTGTATGAATGAAGAATATTGTTGTATATCAAAAATTTCGTAATAGCGTTGTGTGATCAAAATCCTTCTATGATGTATTTTTGTTTTTGGTACAGCATGCCATTCCATTTCTGTTTTCTGCAACTCTACACCACAACTCACTTCCCTCAATGATTTAAAGAATAACAATACAGAAACTATATCTGCAGAAAGATTTGAACTTCATCTCTCTTCTGAGCCATTCATGTTTATACATCCTTGTCTTCATTGTCATTATAGTTGAAAGGTAATGTACTGACTTGAAAGCGCGATACTTCCCCACATTGTATAAGTGCTCACCCAACCTGATCAAACAAAAATCATTTCTTCACCAGAACTCAGTAGCATTTACAATTCTAATGAAACTGTGTCATGTTTAAAAAATCAACGGGGCATTGGTATGAAAGAAGTATAGCATACCTGAAGAAATTCCAGATGCCACGCCGGATAATCTCCAGCTGGCAACTATTGCAGTCAAGCGTTTCTATGCAGGAATGGAGCTTCTGTAAGCCTAACACTGTCTGCATCCAAGCAAGTCTCAGTAAAAGTTCACACCTACAATTCATCGAAAGTTCTTGTCAATTTACAAGGTACAGCATCACTTATACTAATACACTTATCACACTCATCATGAAAACTACAATCTAGAAGGAAAGTTGCATATAATTGTTACAATGGCTATGAAGTAAACACTTCTGTTTGGTACAAGAAGCTTGTCTCTCAACCAAGGATTTCTCGATTTCGACGCAAAAGACCCCAATCTAGGACAATATCCCAATACGTAGCACCACCTGTAGCAACTACTGAAGTGACTATAGCTGCAAGCTTCAAAGTTTGTCCCATCCTAAAAGCCTAACTCAAAAATGTCCTTGTAGCAACCGCAACTATTTGAGAGTATTTATTCCATTAGCTCCATGCATTATATCTTTCCTTCAATAAACGTCTGAGGCACTGAAACTAAAGCTGTTGTAAGAATCTTTTTTTGTTGCAATTACAATAAAAATTGATGCAACATTGAGTACCTGAAGGAACCGAATCCAATATGGAATGATTGCTACAACCAGTAAAAAGTCTTAAAAACTCACTTGTTCACGGAATTTTCCCTCTTTTTGAAGTCCCCCATCCATAGTAGCAAATATAGAATCCAAACTTCTAAAAGCTTGCACCTGAAATGATTATACAATGGCAATTAATCACAAACTAAACCACGTTTACGCACTGCATCAAATTAATTTGGTATGAACTTTATTGTCTAACCTGGCTAGTAAGCTGATCTGCCAAGAAGAATCTGGGAGGTTAACCTTGTAAAGAGGTGCAAAAATACAGGAACTGTACATCGGATAGGAAAAACCGGCTAGAACGGTAATGATATGAAGGACAGAATGTTATAAGAATCACAAGCTGCAATAACAATCAGTAGAATATCGTTAAAGCATGTTTCTTAGGGGAAAATATTGAACAATTGAGAAAGTGATGTTTGAATTATTTATTACTTACAAGAATAGAGCCAAAGGGACAGTTCAGTTATAACTGTGAAGCTTTGTGTTCTTGGATCCTCTCCATATCCAAATTTGATAAGACCCCACCAAATGTAAGTACAGCAAGACCTGACTACCTAGAAGGACTTCTCTGAAACCCAATTCAGTTCCTTGCTTGAACCTAGTATGAATGAATAATTTACTCAAACGCTTCCAAAAGTATATGTTCCCACATACATGAGCATATGCAGAAAATGTATCCAAAAAAGGCTGCAAACAAGTCCAGAAATATTATTTTTTCATGTCCATTTTGCATGTGCAGATGTAAATTGCCATTCACTGAGGCAAATTTCACTCACAAAATCTGTAATCACCTGTAAGTGGAAAAATGTTATCCATATATTTAGCGCGCCCTGGATTTCAGAATCTCGAGCATGGAGTCCACAAAAATGCCAACTACAAGTGCAATGGAGCACCAAAGAAGGTACCTGCAGGTTTACAAAGTAATGAGAATTCATTTGGATTTAACAAGGTCAATTTTTCCATTCAAACTCTGAAGAAAAGTGGAACAAGTTTTACCAAGAAAATGATATGGTACCTCTCTCCCTCTTGGCTTTTGGTCTTAATGTGTCCATTCCTTTGCTGTGATTTCCATTGGCAAAGTGCTTAACAAAAGTAGCTTCCACCCTTTCCATGAGCTTAGTAACCTCAGCCCACAGATAGTCATGGAACACAAATTCATCAGTAACAAGAGGCAATCAATTCTACTGACAGAAAAAGAGTCTCATTGGCTAAACTAACCTCATCAGAACTTCCAGATAAGAATTACCCACCATCTCTAAGTAAGTCTTTGATGCATTCTGGAAGTGATCTGCACTAGCATAAATTAGTCCAACTGATCGAGCTAAAAAAAGAAGCCAAGTTAAAATTGGTAATGTGAGACAAGGGATGAACCTTGTCATACTTCTTCATGATCTTGGGAATGCCAGTTGATTCAAAAAGCTGTTACATATCAATTAAGGTAATTGTCGATTATATTATCATATTGTCATGATCCTAGAATGAGAAAAAGGCATAACATCATACCAGTAGCTTTTCAAAAGTCTAAGCTTTTGGTAGAACTCAGCAAAAGCCTGTGTCATTAGTTGTTCTGCTTTCCGTACTCACGCTTGCTGAATGACCTGTCTGATTTCGAACTCTTGAGGACACCTTTTAGGTTGATACCGGAGTTTCAGGCTCGATATTGATCTGACATGATCCAACACTTCTAATGGCTGGTCTAAAGCCTTCCATATCAGCCTTTCTTCCACTGCTTCCTCCCCTTTCACTCTCGGACTGTCCTTCACTGCTCATCTCAACTTCTTGAATCGTATCCATATGCGACTGCCCTACATAGCAAACATACCATAACTTTTGAGAGATTCGCAATATAAGAGAATATTACATAAACCTAATTGCATAGAGCACAATTGGCATTCATCAATCTAAAACATTCTCTTTACCGTGTTCTGCCATTTTGGATGAATTGAGGATCAGAAGAGGCAAGACTGAGCATGTTGACCCCACCACCATTGGATTTTCAATCTTGATCCTCAGAGCAATCAAGCATTCATTTGTTTACTCAATTCCTCTGCCTCTACCATCACTTCCTCCACTTTCTTCTTATAAAAATGAACCACTTTATTGAACTCATCATCAAGCCTCCTGAAGAACACAGCTCGTGCTCTCCTCCTTCATCAGATGACATGAGAACATAGTCTGATACTTCCCATCTTCTGATCCCTCTTCTTGTACTGAACTCACCAGTATTCTTCATCTTCACTCTTCCTTGGAGAGTTTCTGTACTTGCTTGTTAGCCCCTAAAGGCTCTATACAATGACACCCTTCTCTTCAATGACCCTTTCTTCGCCGCCGCCATCGGAGATGGTGTGTACTGCTGTTGTTTGAACCGCAATATATTCTTCAAGATTGTTTTCAGATAATTGTAGTCCATGTATGCATCTTGCCATCTTGCACCAACTGTGCTGCGAATTCCTTCCCAAACTTCATCTTCTCTCAACAGAAACCAAATGCTTATTTCTCTAAATAAACACGAGAGAACCCTTTTGAATGAACTGACAAATTATTAATTCAAAAAGTGCAAAGAAAAAGTCTCACCAAGGGAGACAAATCTTCCTTCCTATTTTTCCTTCTTTCTTTTTTGATTAATATATATCGTGATGCCATTTCTCCTGTATATGCGCGTGTCGCCGCCTTCACACGGCTGTCAATAGGTCAAGTAATCAAGTTACAGACAAAACCCTCTTCTCATCAAAGTAATTTTGGCCTTGTCAGGTTCTAAAGTCAATTCCATAAGCTGTAAAAAGACTAAGCTTGGTGGTTGAAATCTTTATACTAGAAATCCTGATTGAAGATTTAAGTTCACACGGAGAGACAAAATTGCACCTAATTCTTAGCTGGTGTGTGACGATTTTTGTACCCACATGTGATAATTCCATGTCCAGGGGACCATATTGCTGCTTTGTGATAATAATTGATATAGGATACGCTTATTTAACAGTATGGATGAGGTTATACCGTTGTTGAATTTAATTTTCTTTTGTTTAATGTACAATGGTACGGAGTTTTGATTTATTATTTTTTAATAACACTTCTCACCACAACTTTTAAAGACAACTCGTCCAAATTTTAAAGATTTTAAGAGAAGAATCACTGAGTCTTTTAATGTGAAATTGATTTTGGTAGTTGTAATTGATCGAATTGATTGGGAATGGAATTATACAAACCTTAATCACTCGATTACGACGATTGGTAGGTCAACAGAATAAGTTTTGAGGGGTTTTGTGATGATAATCGAAATGAGAATGGTGGTAGTGTAAGTCGAACGATCTGAAATTGAAAACAAAATATAAATTTTGAAATAAAATAATATTTTAAAAATGTTCAAATTCATATTTGGTGGGAAAAAGTTATTTATTTTTTTTTTTTTTTTTAATATACGCGTAAACAACTGTTATTTATATTTAAAATGTGCATGGTGGGTGATAAGGACATGAAATGGTTAGGGTGGTTAGCTTGTTACATTATTTGTCAGCTATTCATGATTTTAAGTAACCTAACATCATAAAATATTGGACAATACAAAGAATAAGGACCTTTTAAATGGGTTTTTATTAGGTAGGGATTAATATATTCTAGTTTTGAACACATAGATCATTTTTAATGGCTCTCTAATGGACAATAAATCAGATGACGTATAGAATATTGCTGAACAGACGTGGTAATTTTTTATTTGTTGTGACATGTGTCACTAATCTTTACGCATATTCCTTCTTAGATAATTAAAAGAATATTGAAGTTTATTTAACAACGAGAAGTATATAAAATACGTGATAGATTATAACCGAAGTTTGTATAAAATTCGATGCTAGATTGATGAGAATAAAAAAATCAAACAATACACAAAAAAATATTTTTAAAGTAGTTCGAATGCTGAGTGTAAATCCTACTCCACGACTTTTTATGTGCCAACTACACTTACAAGTATAATAAAAAATTAGTTCACCTTTTAGTAAAAAGTATATTATTATATAACAAACTTATAAATAAAATTAACCTTAAAAAATACACGTGATTTGAATCTACTTCAGGGATTAAACCACAACATAACAATAACAAAATGATACATTAAACCATGAACACTGAGTCAAAACATTAGTCAGAAATCCAACTGAGCGTAATAGTAATTAGGGGTGTTTAAAAAAATGCAAAAATTGAACCGAACCGAAAAAATGGTTTGATTACGGTTCAAAAAATTCAAAAAACTAGATTTTCGATTCAGGAAAAAATAAAAAGCGGTTAACCGAAATCGGTTTTTTGAACCAGTTATATATATATATTAAATAAAAAAATAATATAATATATTATCTATTAAATAAATTAATAATAATATTTTTAATGTATTGTTAGTAGTTGTAAATGGATATGTATGAATGTTTAATTTTTATTTGGATATGTATTATTTATATTTATAATTTAATTTAGGAAAAAATAAAAAAATAAGTTTTATTAAAAAAAAAAAAAAAAAAAAAGGAAGGGAAAACTAAAGCGGTTAATTGGTTTGGTTTGTGTTCGGGAATTTTTTCAAACGGAAAAACCGATTCGGTTCCCCTATAGTGCAGTAACAGTTAGATAGCGGTACATTAACCATGGAGAATAAGCCAAAAACCTAGTTAAATGTGCTTAGGAACATTATATGTAAAAAAGCTTCAGAATTTTGAAACTGAGTTTGTGCTCATAACAAGCCCAATGCATGGTTCGTTTACCAATCCCAACAAGCAACCAAGTCTTCCTTCCAAAACCCACCAACTGCAATACAGATTTTCTCTCCAAAACTCGCCAATGTCTCACTCTACTCAAACTCTGCTGCTCCGCGAAACACCTCACTCAAATCCATGCTCAAGTCCAAGTCTCTGGTCTCCAAAACGACACCCACCTTTTAAGCGAACTCGTCCGCTTTCGCACATTGTCTCCTCTCAAAAACTTAACTTACGCGCGAACCCTTGTTTATAATTCGAGTAACTCGGCGCCTATTTCATGGAACATGCTTGTTAGAGGCTATGCCTCTAGTGAAACACCAAGAGAGGCCATTTTGGTGTTTCTTGATATGAAAAGAAGAGATGTTAGACCCAGTAAGCTCACTTTCCCTTTTGTTTTAAAGGCTTGTGCGGAGAGTTTTGCTCTTGAAGAGGGAAGGCAGGTTCAAGTGGAGGTTGTGAAGTGTGGATTGGATTCTGATGTTTATGTGAACAACAATTTGATACATTTTTATGGGTCCTGCAAGAAAACTTATGATGCCCACAAAGTGTTCGATGAAATGTGTGATAGAAGTGTGGTGTCGTGGAATGCGGTGATAACTGCTTGTGTTGAGAATTTTTGGCTAGGGGATGCAATCGGGTATTTTGTTAAGATGATGGATTTTGGGTTTGAGCCGGATGAGGCTACGATGGTGATTGTGCTTTCTGCTTGTGTTAAGCTTGGAAATTTAAGCTTAGGGATATGGGTTCATTCTCAAGTTGTTGAGAGAGGAATGGTGTTAAATTGCCAATCGGGTACTGCTCTTGTTGACATGTATGCGAAGTGTGGTGCTGTAGGTTATGCTAGGCTCGTATTTAATAGAATGAAGGAGAAAAATGTATGGACATGGAGTGCAATGATTTTGGGATTAGCTCAACATGGATATGGCAAGGAAGCCCTTAAGCTTTTTTTGAAGATGATGAAAAATTCTGCAATTAGACCTAATTATGTCACATTTCTTGGTGTTCTTTCTGCTTGTAGCCATGCTGGATTGGTGGATGATGGATACCGGTACTTTCATGATATGGAACATGTGCATGGGATTAAGCCTATGATGATACATTATGGTGCCATTGTGGATATCTTGGCTCGTGCTGGTCGGCTAAAAGAGGCTTATTCCTTCATAATGAACATGCCTATTGAGCCTGACGCTGTTGTGTGGAGGACATTGCTTAGTGCATGCAGCATCCATGATACTAATGACACTGATGGAGTGGGGGATGAAGTGAGAAAGAGGCTGCTTGAATTGGAGCCGAAAAGGAGTGGGAATTTAGTGATAGTTGCAAACATGTATGCTGAAGTTGGGATGTGGGAGAAAGCAGCAAATGTGAGAAGGCTTATGAAAGATGTAGGGTTAAAGAAGATGGGCGGAGAAAGTTGGGTCGAGATAGGTGGATCCATCCATAAGTTCTATTCTGGGGATGATTCTCAAATCGAACTTAAAGGAATCTACCAATTACTTAAAGCATTGAACTTGCACATGAAGATGGTGAACTCTTGTGACAGTAATCTTTCATCCCCTTTTATCACATAGAATGAATAACAAGTTTTGATTCTTCATCGTTTCTCTTTTTACTTATTTTGACTGATTTAACAGAGCTCAACTATTTTGGGGGTGCCCTGTACAGGGCCTACATACTCCTTTCAGTAAAATTTTGTGTGATAACAGGCTGTAACAGAAGTATTTGTTGATATCATAAAGTGAAAATGAGATCTGATTTTACTAGATGTAGCTGAATTTCTAGAAATCAATTATAATATTCTTCTTGAGAAATTTTTATGTCACATTTCAAATTGCTTGTGAATGTAATCTAAGGTCAGTTAATTAGTTTTGGATGTTTTTTAAGAAATTTTATGTTACTCACATAGCTGGCAAATGAAAACCAATATTTACTCTGTTTTAGGTCCCTTAACTAAATTGACATACTATGCTTACATGAAACCCATAAACAAATTCTTGTAAATTAACTCAAAAGTGAACAATATTTTACTCAGTTAGGTCTACAAGAAAAAGCCATATTCTTGCACCTTACTATTGAAACATCGGCCGATCACATAATTTATTGTTGAAAATGTTTAATTGAACTTGTACCATGGAAAGACCACAAGATGGTGAGAAATTTTAATTGAAATGGTCCCTAAAGAAAAAACCATTTCTTTCAACCTGATGTTGAAATATTTGCACATATCCGATCACATAGTTACAAGTTGGTGGGATTTACTGAAAGGGTCCCCTTCTTTGCTTTGGTGGTTCAATTATCTGCTTCACTCAAGTTGCAGTCCAATAGGGATATATGATCTCAATCCAAGTGAAAACATATTTCACAAAAAAATTTGACAATGTACAGATATATATTTGATACAGTCAGCCCTGCTTTACAAGTGACTGGAAAATTACAGGAACTGAGAAAATTCCATTAATATATAGAAGTTTAACATTCATAACTGCAAATGGCCAATTATTTGTACAAGAGATGTGTAAGTGCCAATAATGGCAACTGCAACACCAATTAATATAATACTCACAATGGCCACCATTTCACATCCAAATCTCCTATAAAGTCCTGAGATCTTCAGGTAACATAAGCATGGAAGAATAACTGAAGCTGAGACACTCAAAAATGCTCCAACCAGGGACATCAGATATCCAAACAGAGGGACGACCAGGGCAACAATTACTGTGCTCACCACCAAAGTGGTGCTGATAATTAGGCTATAAGGCTTCTTGCTGTAGTGGCTTGGAAAGCAGCTCTTGGTAGCATTCACAATTGGTGTAACCATCAATGCATACTTGGAAATGGGATTGACAAGGGTTGTGCAAATCGCCACTCTTGAGCTGAGTGTGTTGGTTGGAAGGTTTAATGTTATTTGTGATTGAACCCCGGAGCCGAACATTAAGTACCCAAAAATCGCCATTGATGAATAGATGAATGTACACAGGAAAAAGCACACAAGCAAAACCTGCAATAAGAACAGTAGAGTTATAAGTAACTCATAAACACATTGAATGTAACGTCATAAACACACTTTATCTGGTGGGGCTCCAAGAGTTACTTTTCAAGGATGAAGTCTTGAATTCGAATCAGGGGGTAAAACGGTGTGTAGAACAATACGTAAGAACGTAACTCTCAGAGTCCCATCAGAGAAAGTGGGTATGGGATGTTGTATTAAAACAATGTTATTCTCAAGAATTGAACTGAAAGTAATTTGTAACTTACATTTGAGAACTGGCGCTTGTTCCTTATTGAAGTGTAAAGAGTTGGAAAGACTGGATGAGCACAATAACAGAAGGCATACAAGCTGACAGCAGTAGGGATACCACTCCAATTAAGAGGGGTTCCTTTATGTTTGAATCCAACTCCATCAAAAGCACCAGTCCAGAAGATTGATCCAAGAGTCACTGCAGAAGCTAAAACCCCACTAGCAGAAACATATGAAAGCAAGCTCAAATTATCCAGCCAAACTGTAGGCAGAATAATCAGGGCAACAAGCATCACAAAGCTTTGTTTTCCACCAATAATCAACCCTCCAACTTCAAGCTTCATGTTTGGGAACAAGTTTATTAAGTTATCTCCTTCCAGGATCAGGAAACCTGTTGCCACCAAGTAGAGCTCAACGTTCATGAAAATTGACACCACTAGTCTCCCTTTCTTGCCAAATGCTCGTTCACCTATATCAGGATAAGTTCTGATATTTGAATCCGCATCCATGCATCTTTGAATCAACAAACCTGAGTAAAAAGCTGCAGAGGCAATAAGGAACAAGAGGGCCAAGCTCCACCACCCTCCTGAGGCCAGCGCATATGGGGTTGAAAGTATCCCAACTCCTGATACCAAACAATGAAAACCAGAAAAAGAAAGAGTTAAGAGTTAGCTCTGAAGAACAAGTTACAAGAAAACGTTAATAAACTGCATCTTGTAAACTCCTGATACTTTGTAGAGGGCTGTTCTTAATTCTTATGAGTGTAAACTAAGAAGTATTTAAACCTGACAAAGCATTGAGTCCATGGAAACAAGTCTTGAAGAAAGAAGTAGAGCCTGTTCTATGACTATCATGGTTTGATTCTATCTCCTCAAGCTTGCGCCCAACCGCATGTTGATTCTCATCATCAACAATAAGAGGGACTGTCAAGGATGAGGAATCACGTTCCATGGCCTCCTTGGATCCCATGATTCAGAGAGAGAGAGCTCCAGAGAGTTCAGAGAGGCAACACAAAAGGAAAAAGAATAGTAGGAGATAAGTTAACGTAGGGTTGAACTCAGCTGCCTATATTTGCTGACTGGAAGTTTTAGATGGCTTTGAAAGCTGCCTGGCTTGTTTAATATATATATATATAGAAGGCAGGCAGCAAGTAAGAGGCGTGAAGTTATTAAGTCTTAACAGCACATTTAAAAGATGTAAACATTATTGCNGGGTCCCCTTCTTTGCTTTGGTGGTTCAATTATCTGCTTCACTCAAGTTGCAGTCCAATAGGGATATATGATCTCAATCCAAGTGAAAACATATTTCACAAAAAAATTTGACAATGTACAGATATATATTTGAGACAGTCAGCCCTGCTTTACAAGTGACTGGAAAATTACAGGAACTGAGAAAATTCCATTAATATATAGAAGTTTAACATTCATAACTGCAAATGGCCAATTATTTGTACAAGAGATGTGTAAGTGCCAATAATGGCAACTGCAACACCAATTAATATAATACTCACAATGGCCACCATTTCACATCCAAACCTCCTATAAAGTCCTGAGATCTTCAGGTAACATAAGCATGGAAGAATAACTGAAGCTGAGACACTCAAAAATGCTCCAACCAGGGACATCAGATATCCAAACAGAGGGACGACCAGGGCAACAATTACAGTGCTCACCACCAAAGTGGTGCTGATAATTAGGCTATAAGGCTTCTTGCTGTAGTGGCTTGGAAAGCAGCTCTTGGTAGCATTCACAATTGGTGTAACCATCAATGCATACTTGGAAATGGGATTGACAAGGGTTGTGCAAATCGCCACTCTTGAGCTGAGTGTGTTGGTTGGAAGGTTTAATGTTATTTGTGATTGAACCCCGGAGCCGAACATTAAGTACCCGAAAATCGCCATTGATGCATAGATGAATGTACACAGGAAAAAGCACACAAGCAAAACCTGCAATAAGAACAGTAGAGTTATAAGTAACTCATAAACACATTGAATGTAACATCATAAACCCACTTTATCTGGTGGGGCTCCAAGAGTTACTTTTCAAGGATGAAGTCTTGAGTTCGAATCAGGGGGTAAAACGGTGTGTAGAACAATACGTAATAACGTAACTCTCAGAGTCCCATCAGAGAAAGTGGGTACGGGATGTTGTATTAAAACAATGTTATTCTCAAGAATTGAACTGAAAGTAATTTGTAACTTACATTTGAGAACTGGCGCTTGTTCCTTATTGAAGTGTAAAGAGTTGGAAAGACTGGATGAGCACAATAACAGAAGGCATACAAGCTGACAGCAGTAGGGATACCACTCCAATTAAGAGGGGTTCCTTTATGTTTGAATCCAACTCCGTCAAAAGCACCAGTCCAGAAGATTGATCCAAGAGTCACTGCAGAAGCTAAAACCCCACTAGCAGAAATATATGAAAGCAAGCTCAAATTATCCAGCCAAACTGTAGGCAGAATAATCAGGGCAACAAGCATCACAAAGCTTTGTTTTCCACCAATAATCAACCCTCCAACTTCAAGCTTCATGTTTGGGAACAAGTTTATTAAGTTATCTCCTTCCAGGATCAGGAAACCTGTTGCCACCAAGTAGAGCTCAACGTTCATGAAAATTGACACCACTAGTCTCCCTTTCTTGCCAAATGCTCGTTCACCTATATCAGGATAAGTTCTGATATTTGAATCCGCATCCATGCATCTTTGAATCAACAAACCTGAGTAAAAAGCTGCAGAGGCAATAAGGAACAAGAGGGCCAAGCTCCACCACCCTCCTGAGGCCAGCGCATATGGGGTTGAAAGTATCCCAACTCCTGATACCAAACAATGAAAACCAGAAAAAGAAAGAGTTAAGAGTTAGCTCTGAAGAACAAGTTACAAGAAAACGTTAAAAAACTGCATCTTGTAAACTCCTGATACTTTGTAGAGGGCTGTTCTTAATTCTTATGAGTGTAAACTAAGAAGTATTTAAACCTGACAAAGCATTGAGTCCATGGAAACAAGTCTTGAAGAAAGAAGTAGAGCCTGTTCTATGACTATCATGGTTTGATTCTATCTCCTCAAGCTTGCGCCCAACCGCATGTTGATTCTCATCATCAACAATAAGAGGGACTGTCAAGGATGAGGAATCACGTTCCATGGCCTCCTTGGATCCCATGATTCAGAGAGAGAGAGCTCCAGAGAGTTCAGAGAGGCAACACAAAAGGAAAAAGAATAGTAGGAGATAAGTTAACGTAGGGTTGAACTCAGCTGCCTATATTTGCTGACTGGAAGTTTTAGATGGCTTTGAAAGCTGCCTGGCTTGTTTAATATATATATATATAGAAGGCAGGCAGCAAGTAAGAGGCGTGAAGTTATTAAGTCTTAACAGCACATTTAAAAGATGTAAACATTATTGTCCTGAACTGCATGGTCCTGCTCAAGCTCGAGTTCGAGTCTCAATTCTGAGGCTCGCCGGCTGGAGCTGGACACTGTAGTAAACAAGCCGAGCTTAATAAGCACTACAAGCCGAGCTTAATAAGCGAAAAGCTCAGGTGGGCTCGGCTCGTTTACAGTTCTCTTCATTGTTTCTGTCTTGCTCACTATTTCTTTCAGACTTTACTGGAAAGAAAACTGCCACTCACATGTTAGATGTTGACAATTCCAGGAATCATCTTTTGTTTCATGAGTGAAATACCAAAACACAAACTCCAATTTTTTTGAAATTTTTTCCTCCCATGCCAGTACTCCAAGTGTAGTTCAACAGTTGAGACAAGTCTCTAGATGTGAACTGTAAATTTATATATACTTCAATACAAATTTATATTCACTTTAAAACTAAATTATTTCTATCAAGAATACATCCTAGATTTGCTACTCTATTCAACTCTAATCAATGATAACATTAAATAAATGAATGTAAAATCAAGGATATTGTATTAAAGAAGCCAGTTGAATCTAAATTCAAAGGATAACATATTAAAGAAATTAATTGAATCTAAAATCAAAGATAAAAATAATAAAGAAAATTTGTCTATAAGATCAGGACGAATTACTGGTCCAGAAGTCAAGATCTGCAATCAAACGTAGAACCCTGATAGACAGAATCCGGATTACTTTGAAACATTCCAAGTCAATAAATGAATCTCATATCATTAAAATCTGTGAACAGCAATATTGTCCCAAGAAATATCAACAATTTATTAACTTAAACCGCAGACCACAAACTTTCTGAAGTTTTTAATTGGCCCTGAAAGATTTGTCTACTACTGATGAGAATCACGTGATTATCCTCACAAATATCACATGTGGGTGACAAAAGCCTTCTAATGAACTAAAACAAGGTCCAAATGAAGAAACCGAGGCCAAATCTCTGCAGGATTCGAACATAATACAATTACTTTTGAGCTGTTAGTGAGGAAACCGAGAGAAAATGGCGTTTAGTGAGTTAGTTTAATGAACACGGGAGTGTAAAATAATGGTGGTTTTGCAATTAATTTGCTAGTGGACAGGAAATGGTGGACCATTGAATATTGATGTTTTGAGTTATCCAACTCAAAATTTTGGCTTGTCTTTTTGACTATTAATAATATAATGACAGGACAAATGCATGCATTTATAGGAGGGGTGAGGACCATGTTTTATTGAGAAAGAAGTTTAAGGTTTTTGTCTTCAATTTGGTATTAGGTACTAAGAAAATTTTGCCGTGTTGGCCTAATTACATTGACTACCGCGTAGAAGTGGAAAAAAAATCTTCATGAAACCTGCTGAGCAGATTTTGATGTTGCAGTAGCATGAACTGAAATTTGTAGTAGTCAAAGTGAAGAGATTAAATATGTTAATATAAGAAAGATGTAAGTTAAGAAAAACTCTAATTGGCCACCAGTTATTGAAAAGATATATAGATGGTATAAGATGATGATGATGAAATGAGAATTGGGTTTTTATATAACATCAGTTATTCAAGACCATTACATATTGTCCTACCCACCTCATTTGATAGAGTTCAAATTTCTCTCTTATCCACCTTAAATTTGGAGACTTGAAATACGTCCTCCGACTCCTCCGACTCGAACCTGTATGTAATTTTTCCAAATAATTGATACTCCAGACTTGTTTGGAAAGATGATATGCAAGTTTGAGTCAGAGTACACGCTTTAAATTCAATTTTATGATACTCCGAACTCATTTGAAAACCAAAGTGTTATTCGAGTAAGCTAAACTAAGTGAATAATTGTCGATTTTATGATGTGACAAATTCCGTAATATATGTGAAGTACTAACTAGTAGAAAACCAGTCTACGCAATGGCTTCCCTGCCACCTACTATTCCATGAAATTGGAACCAATCAATTCCAAAATCTACTGTGTTGTAAAGGGCTTTATATTTTGAAGGATTTTGAGCGGTTGGTCTTCGACTGAGCAATATTTTTTCCAGAATGGTTTTGCAGAAAGAATGTCTTTCAGTTTTGTCTTATTAACATAACTGCACCACCATCAGAGACCAGAGAGGATAAAATATTACACAGTCTGAGACAACCAGAGCCACAAATCCAAGTGAACCAGTATGAAGACCAAATTGTCACATTTTGGCTGCATATTTTTCAGCTTTTTTAGCTTGCCAAGATTTATTAAATTCAAACAAACAATAAATTTCAGCATAGATTTATTGCAATCATCAACTCCGACCACTTGTTACAAGAATATTTGTCCTACTAGGCATGGTTTCAAACTACAATAATGTTTTACTAATCATGTCTTATCCTACTACCAAAGTTTTCTACAATGCCATTCTTTCAAATGTTGATTAACGACATTAGATAACTGACATCAGACTTCATGAAAAAAAGATATATAGGATTTATCCTGTTTATAATAAGAACAACGATAATATCTTGAACAATGAATCCATCATTTGAAACGTGTAACATCTAGTTCATTTTGATCCTTTAGATAGCAAGAAAGAAATCGAATGCTTATAAATGAAGGAGAAGATACGTTTGTAATTGCCTGGAAATTTAAGCTGCCCATACGGCACTCATTCTTCCAGAACAATAAAACAAGTGAAAGCAACTATTCTAGCGACCTTTCAGAAATCAAAACCACAAAAAAACATTTCTTGATGAGATCACAGGCAAGGGAGTTATGGAGAAGCAGCCAAGGATTTCTAGTAGAAGTGTTTCAATGGGGAAGATGAAAACAAATTTGTTTAACCTTTTAGCAGGTAAATGACAAGCCATTGAAGTTGACAATTCTTACTGCAAATCGGAAGAGTTTCATATTTCTCCTTTGTTGTCACCAAACAAATCCTGACAAATCTCAAGATAAAGCCAAAAGTAAATTTTGGTAACCTACAGATTGCTTTATAATAATTTAATGTGTTTTATTTGGTAATTACTGTAAAGTATCCAAAGCCACTTCTTATGAAAATTTTACTGTCATCATCTCAAATTTATATTTAATCTATATTTCAGAATATCTTTTTCCTTCTGGAATATAAAAAATATAATATTATCTATTAAATAAATAATAATAATATTTTAATGTATTGTTAGTATAGTAAATGAATACATAGAATGTTTAATTTTTATTTGGATATATTATTGTTTATATATAATTTATTTAAAAAAAATAAAAAAAATTAGTTTATAAAAAAAAAAAGAAGGAAAACTAAAGCGGTTACCGTTTGTTGTTGGTTGGGGAATTTTTTCAAGTTCCCTATACTGCAGTAACAGTTAGATAGCGGTACGTTTAACCATGGAGAATAAGCCAAAACCTAGTTAATGTGCTTAGGAACATTATATGTGAAAAAGCTTCAGACTTTTGAAACTGTTTGTGCTCATAACAAGCCCAATGCATGGTTCGTTTACCAATCCCAACAACCAACCAATTCTCCTCCAAAACCCACCAACTGCAATACGATGTTCTCTCCAAAACTCGCCAATGTCTCACTCTACTCAAACTCTGCTGCTCCGCGAAACACCTCACTCAAATCCATGCTCAAGTCCAAGCTCTGGTCTCCAAACGACACCCACCTTTTAAGCGAACTCGTCCGCTTTCGCACTTTGTCTCCTCTCAAAAACTTAACTTACGCGCGAACCCTTGTTTATAATTCGAGTAACTCGGCGCCATTTCATGGAACATGCTTTTAGAGGCTATGCCTCTAGTGAAACACCAAGAGAGGCCATTTGGTGTTTCTTGATATGAAAAGAAGAGATGTAGACCCAGTAAGCTCACTTTCCCTTTTGTTTTAAAGGCTTGTGCGGAGAGTTTTGCTCTTGAAGAGGGAAGCAGGTTCAAGTGGAGGTTGTGAAGTGTGGATGGGATTCTGATGTTTATGTGACAACAATTTGATACATTTTTATGGGTCCTGCAAGAAAACTTATGATGCCCACAAGTGTTCGATGAAATGTGTGATAGAAGTGGTGTCGTGGAATGCGGTGATAACGCTTGTGTTGAGAATTTTTGGTAGGGATGCAATCGGTATTTTGTTAAGATGATGGTTTGGGTTTGAGCCGGATGAGGCTACATGGTGATTGTGCTTTCTGCTTGTGTTAAGCTTGGAAATTTAAGCTTAGGGAATGGGTTCATTCCAAGTTGTTGAGAGAGGAATGGTGTTAAATTGCCATCGGGTACTGCTCTTGTTGACATGTATGCGAGTGTGGTGCTGTAGGTTATCTAGGCTCGTTTAATAGAATGAAGGAGAAAAATGTTGGACATGGAGTGCAATGATTTTGGGATTAGCTCAACATGGATATGGCAAGGAAGCCTTAAGCTTTTTTGAAGATGATGAAAAATTCTGCAATTAGACCTATTATGTCACATTTCTTGGTTCTTTCTTGTTAGCCATGCTGGTTGGTGGATGATATACCGGTACTTTCATGATATGGACATGTGCATGGGATAAGCCTATGATGATACATTATGGTGCCATTGTGGATATCTTGGCTCGTGCTGGTCGGCTAAAGAGGCTTATTCCTTCATAATGAACATGCCTATTGAGCCTACGCGCTGTGTGTGGGGACATTGCTTATGCATGCAGCATCCATGATACAATGACACTGATGGAGTGGGGGATGAAGTGAGAAAGAGGCTGCTTGAATTGGAGCCGAAAAGGATGGGAATTTAGTGATAGTTGCAAACTAGTGCTGAAGTTGGGATGTGGGAGAAAGCAGCAAATGTGAGAAGGCTTATGAAAGATGTAGGTTAAAGAAATGGGCGAGAAAGTTGGGTCGATAGGTGGATCCATCATAAGTTCTATTCTGGGATGATTCTCAAATCGACTTAAAGGAATCTACCATACTAAAGCATTGAACTTGCACATGAAGATGGTGAACTCTTGTGACAGTATCTTTCATCCCCTTTTATCACATAGAATGAATAACAAGTTT